TAGTGGCTAATTTTGAAGCCATTTTCCTGCGTCGAAACATTATCGACAGGAGTGGGAGTACATAAAAATGCGGTCCCAATCCGACTCTGATAAAAGGTCTCTGTTCCACGCACGGCAAGAGGGGAAAGAAGTGTCCTGCTGTCCCCTAGGAGAGGAAAAATCTCAGAGATCAAATGCTTCCGCGGTTCGGATTGAAGCATAAGGATTCAAATGGAGTAAAAGTCCAATTATGGCAGGATTTATGGAAAAGCAGGAAGTGTCTAATCTGAAGAAAGGCCCAGAGAGGGAATTCGCGGATATTCAAGCTAACCTTCAGCTCCTGTAATGTTTTCACCTTGCCGGAGTGAATTTACTAGAATCTGAGCGTATGGCCAGTAATTTGATAAAAAATCCTTGTGCAACCCTGGGGGAAAATCTGGATTCAAGCGGATCGACGTCAAGGGACTAGGAGAGTCCGAAACGGATGACGTTTTACAGGCCTTACGGAAAACTTCTAACGTGGGACCTATCAAAGGATGGGAGAGGAGAACTTGAGGTGTGTGTTTCGGCAATAGCCAAGGGATCGATGTAGGGGAGTGGGCGAAAAAGCCTTCTCCAAAAGGACCCAGTCTTTGGAAGCAGAATGAATGTGCCAATCGACTATGCGGGAAAGATGACACGCCCAGTAATAGCGGTGTAGGTCAGGGAGCCCAATGCCCCCGCTGAGTTTGGGACGAGTCAGCTGAGAGAACGAGACCCGCCGGACGCTTGTGATTCCATAAAAATAAGGAACATAGTTTTTCTTGCAAGAAGCAAAGAATGTCAATGGAAGTTGAATTGGCAAAGTTTGGAAGAGATAGAGGAGACGCGGAAGTATATTCATTTTAATAATGGCAGCCCTACCAAACCAAGAGAAGCAGGGGCGATGCCACTTGTTTAGGTCTTCCTGTATGACTTTGAAAACCGGTAAGAAATTTTTGGCATAAAGGTCGTCCAGATTGCGAGTAAGTTGTACACCAAGATATGGAAGGGCATCCCTCACCCACTGAAATGGAAAATGAGACTCACAGAAGGAGACGAGATCAGTGGGAAGGGTTATGTTGAGGGCGTATGACTTTGAAAAATTAATTTTCAAGTTTGACAAAAAGCGGAAAAAAGCAAAGTCTTTCAGCAAACTCGGTCGGTAGGGTGGTGCGAGGGTCAGCCAAAAAAAGGAGGATATCATCCGCATAAGCAGCAAGTTTGTATTCTTTGTCTGCTATCCTGATCCCCTTAATATCTGGGTTAGCGCGAATTTGTCTCAAAAGAGGTTCAAGGGAAATGACGAAACAGAAGCGGGGATAGGGCAACCCTGACGAGTGCCATTACCCAGGCGGAAAGGGTTCGATAAGTGTCCATTAACCCGAACTTGAGCTGTAGGGCCCGAGTATAGGGTCATAATAAAGCTTATCATTTTCTCGCCCAGGCCCAAAGCCATCAGTCTGTTACACCTTACTTAATTGTGTCTCTGTTTATGTGAAAAATACAATAAAGAAATATTGAAATTAAAACATGTGCGAAAAAAAAAAGCTAAATCAGCTCTGGCAGTGAAAGAGTTAAAAGTCCATACGGGTCATTAGTCTAGCGTTAATCATAAAAATGGGCCTAGAATTATTGTTCTTGCTTGGGCATGTGTGTTGTTATGTAACATCTGTAGCACAACTGACATTTTTTTAATCCATGTGATACTAAACATCAGAGGTTTATTTCACCCCTGATGCCTCACTTGTCTTCTATTGAAACTAAAAGAGTGCAGATAGTGCCCCATTAGCTTCTTTCCAGGCCACAGTGACTGCAGAAAGTGACAGTCAAACCTGAACGTGATGTAATGCAAGTTGCTTCCAGGTTTTCAGTAGGTAGGGGAGATCAGCAAACAATCTGCTGGTCTCACTCCCCTCTACCTGGTAGCACCTGCCATGCTGGTGCCAGGTCCCCAGATGGGATATCAGAGCTGGGAACACATTGTGGGAGGGGTCCACATGGGTAACAGCACAGTAACGGAGGCATGTGGATCAATTACACCTGACAGCCAACAGTCAACTTGTCAGAAATACACACAACTGCCAGGAGTTTGTTTAAAACTCTCCGCTGCTGTCGACATATGTCAACCATCAGTGGCAGCTAAAAGGTTAAACAGCATTATCCACAGGGCATTCCACACTATGTCATCCAGTAGGAAGACATTTTAGGAGTTATTCACTTTATTGTGGTAACCCCTGCCATTTTGTCTCTAACATTGCTCAGTGTGCTCTTTTAAAATTGCCACTTTTTCCCTCCTATCTGGACTGGTCTCAGAAGAACGAGGTATCTGCACCACACCTCTCAAATGATGTATTTCCAACTATCTGTTCCCACCAAGAATGCATACATAATATTGATGAATTTCTGTGGCCATCTTCTACAGAGACACTGCTGCAGAAATTTGGTCAATGTCTAGGCTATAGCAGCTTCTAATCTAAACATGCAAAACTCCATCCATTCTGCACTCAAAAACCAAGAGTTCTCTACTGGTGATCCCCTCACTAGCAATGGTGCATCATAGATGCAAAGGAGTGGGACAACAGCACGCATTCCCAGAGGAAACACAGAGGTGGTCTAAGCTCTGGCTTATAGCTGGTCGCTTGTCCCAGAGCAATGTCCTGATATGACATTGCTCCTCTCATCTGACTCTGGCTCCCTCTCAGACACACATTGTGTAGCCTGTCTGACAAAAGCAGATTTCTGTGCCACTATGTCTGTATTCTTTGACAAACAATCAGAACTTCTAGAACCTTTCGTTTCCAGAGGCTAAAAATGCTACACATCCCCTTTTCATCTTGACTTTGTTCAGGAATCAGAAACAATCTTTTTTACTTGAAGATATGAAGGAAAGCATTGAAGACATTAAGTGAAGGCAGTGGAAGATTTAACTTCCCCTGAAGCTTATGAGGTACAAGCCATGGCTTTGGACCAAATGCTTTCCACTGTGGACACACTAATTGATGTGGTGCACACTAACCTTTGCCTGATAACACCTGACTCCCCACAGCCAACAGAAATCCCTATGGGTACTAAGAGACTGGCTAAGTCTAAAAATACTTTTTCCCATACACGCACAAAATAACTGTGCACTTTGTAAGTAATATTTATGCTATGGAAAAGGAAAAAAAATCTTATCCGGTAGTTGATCCTGCCATTCAGGTTCTCAAAAAACACCTTACTGTTCCTATTTAGGACATTCTGTCCTTTAAGGATTCTATTGCTAGGTATTTTGAAACCTTTTTAAAGGTCTTACTTGCAAGTCAAGCCCTATAGCCAACAAATGGTGTCATGCCATGTCTATTTGTCAGGCTATTACCAGCTGGTTGTGATGCATAAACAGATACCAGGAACCTGTCTTTGAAAACCCTTCTATCTTGGAACAATTACAGCTGATGCCTTCAACCCTACTGTTTTGTGTTGTTGTTCTTGAGAATCTCACTTGACAAGTCTCAAGATTTGCTCTTATTTCTGTGTACATGTGCAGGATTTTGTGACTAAATGCTTGGAAGAAACATCTTCTATGCATGCCATTTGATGATGAATGCCCCATTGGGGAATTCCTTTGCAAATTAATCAAGTAAGTAACTATTTGTTCTAAAACACAGGGATGATTGCCTGCTGGGAACTGCATTTTATAGTTAGAGGGATGGCACATAAGAAAACCCAATTATTGCCAATTTTAAGCCATCTGACCCAAGTTCAAAGTGCATTATATTATTAGCAGTTGGTTGCTATGGAAGTAAAACTGCCACATTAGCTCACTGTGTCTTCATGTGGGCCAGGCTTAGGCACCCTAATGGATACACTGTGGAAATGCAGTTGCTAATGCCTGCAATACAGGCAGGACTTGCTGTCACGTGAAATTAGCATTAAGGTGGTACTTTGGACTTAGAAGCAGGCAGAACAACTTACACAGTTAACACTTTGTAATCCATGGCCAAACTTATTACACTGTTGTAAGCCCTATTCTTTGATATGCCTTACATGCACCACTTTAGAGATTTTAGACCAGGCAGATTAGATGAATAATAAAGATATTTTACTGAAGTAGTTAAAGGTAACAAAAGAGCAGTTCTCAAAGACATCTTCCACACGCTTTCCTGTACAAAGTTCACTAAGCGCCCCAAAGTAGTGCCCCATGAGGTATTCATACCTGAATTAGGCAGTAAGTCCATAAAATGAATCTGTTTCAATGCAAGAGTCCATTACTGGCAGTAATCTACATGAGGTAGCAATAATCCATAAACAGGGTCCAGTTTAGGGAGTATAAATCCATATAAATCCACATAATACCCCACTGGGAACCTTGACTGAAAGGTTTTAGGAAGCACATGTTTACATGAAAACTGGGTTGGGTTCACTTCTAACCCAAACAACCTGACTTTTCTAATTGCCATGGATCATATGATCAATGTTTTGGGATTTGATTGCAGACAGGAAACTATAAAAAACATTGGTGCAGTTCAGGCATATACGGTGGTAGTAGTCAGTGGATTCACTCCTAAAAAGAATGATCAATAATCATTTAAAAACCCACTGGAAAAATGTGCTGGTTCCAAAGAAACAAGGATTTACTGAGAGCAGAATATAGTTTTGACTATATCACAAATGTTTTGGGCCAGAGTGGTGCTGTGGACATAGTCTAACAGGATTTCAGCAAAGCATTTAATAAAACTCCACGTAATGATCTCATAAAAAAGTTGTACAAGCTAGGACTTAACCCTTGTGAAGTTCAGTGGATACACAGTTGCCCAAGGGATAGATATCAGAATGTGGTTGTAGATGGGGTTCATTCGGAACAGAGACCAGTCACTATTGGTTAACCACAAGGCTCTGTATTAGGTCCAGTTTTATTCAAGTTGTTTGAAAAAGATATACCTAAGGGTTTTAATGGATAAGGTATGTATGTTTGTAGATGACACAAATGTGTACAATAGGGTTGATATTCCTGAAAGTGTCTGTAACATGGAACATGATGAGGAATTGCTGTAAAATTGGTTAAAACACTGGAAACTACAGTTCAATATTTCTAAATGCAAAATAATGCAGTTTGGGGAAAATAATCCCTGATAGAGTAGACTCTCGGATTGTACAGTGCTGGCCAGGACTACAGAGGAAAAAGATTTAGGGGTACTTAATTGCACATGATTGCAAAATTATCAAAATATGTGATGGGTAGTGGGTAAAGAAGATAGAAATCTAGGGTGTATCAGTAAAGGGATCACCTGAGGGAGAATTAAAGTCCTGAATCCCTTCTGTAGATCTTTAGTAAGACCTCATTAACCCCTTCAGGGTAAAACGAATCTTAATGCATAAGAACAATTTTGGAACTTTGACATGCGTTAGAAAACATTCATATCATCACAACTACTTTGTACATCCAGGTGAATTATACCTTGTTTTTTTCAGAACAAATTGAACTTTCATTTGGTGGTAAATGGTAATGGATATCTCCTGATTTTTTTTTTATTACCAAAGGAAATCTGGCCCAAAATAGTAAAAAAAAACCTTTTTTTTTAATGTAGCTGTATTTTTCTTGCTACTACCATAACTTACCACCAAAGAACAACCTAAAATAATTTCTCCTGCTTCTGATGATCGTAATGATAACCATATGTGTGTAAGTTAGCAGTTGTTTGTACAGCCCAGAAACCATAGTACGCAATTTGATTTTGTTTCCATTCTACCACTAACTGATACTGATTCTAATTTAAAAATGTAAAAAAAAACCTGACCCCCCCAAAATAAAACAAAACTGCCCCTGACCAAACCACTAACCCTGGTACAGACCTAGATCAAACCTTGATGTAAGTATTTTTGTTTATTTTTTTTAATTTTTTTTAATTTATTTTTTATACACACTTGTTTTTTTTTCTCTCCGAAAGGACAGAGAGAGATGCAATGTATCTCTCTCCTCCATTCAGAGAGAGAAAACAAGGGGGGCGGGCTTCACAGTAAGTGATCACTGTAACAGCCAATCAGAGGCTATCATAGCGATCAGGTGACCTGGAATTGGGAGTTCCAGGTCCCGATCATTAGAGCGGGACCTGGGGCTCCCAGTGACACCACAGTCTTTGTGCTGGGAGCGCGCCATGTGGCACGCTTCCAGCAGAAAGACAGATAAGCAAATTAGTGGCCCCATGGAAAAAAAGCCCAGTTCTGTGAGGTCACTAATTTGTGTGTGGTCAGCATCAAGGGGTTAAAGTAATTCTAAAGTTCTAAGGGCAAAAAAATTGCCCACCCCCCTAATCCTCCTTAGCACTCATTTAGTCCATTCTCAATCCAGCGATGCCTATCTGCTGCAGCTCTTCCCTCTTCCTGGTGTCAGTGGAGGCTCTAATAGCAGTAAGAGCCATTGGCTCCTACTGCTGTCATAAGAAAATAGCCAGAGCAGAAACCTGGCCTTTGATATCACTTAATGCCAGCCTCTTCTCTACACCCCATTACAGAAAGGATAAAATTCTAGTCACCAAAAAGGAGTGCAGATGAACACCCGCAGCCTCGCACCACGAAAATTTGCCTTCCAGGTACGATGTTACATCTTCCTAGGAGTAGACTTTCGTGCTTTCAACATGGTAGGAATCACTGAATCCAACAGAGATCTGCTCTGAACGATAGACGCCAAGGGACGTCTGTGAGCAACCGCACCACATTGGCATACCAAGAGCGGCGGGGCAAATACAGAGCTACCAGAATTACCGGAATGCCTTCGGCCCTCTATAATTTGCAGCAGGTGGGGTAGAAGCTTGAGAGGAGGGAACGCATAGAGGAGACAATACTGACTCCAAGGGGTTTATTTACTAAAGCTGGAGAGTCCAAAATCAGACTCCCTCCTGCATAGAAACCAATCAGCTTCTAACCTCAGCTTGTTCAATGAAGCTTTGGCAATGAAACCTGGAAGCTGATTTGTTTCTATGCAGAAGGGAGTCTGATTTTGGACTCTTCAGATTTAGTAAATAAACCCCCAAGAGTCTGCCGCATCTGCCAGCGGATCCTTCATCCTGGCCATGAATTTCTGCAGCTTGAATCAAGATGCTAGGAGATTCACATCTGGAGTGCCCCACCAAAGACAAATCTGATGAAACATATCTGGATGCAGGGACCACTCATCTTGGTCCAACATTTGGAGGCTGAGATAGTCTGCCTGCCAATTGTCCACACCAGGAATGTTCATGGCGAAAAAAGCTAGAGAGAATGTGAGAATGTGAGAGCGATCCAGCAATGCCATCACACTCCATATTCCCCCTTGGTGGTTGACATAGGCCACTGCAGTGGCATTGTCTGACTGGATTCAGATGTGCCCCCAAAGATGTTCTGTCCCCTATTCCAGGCACATCCTGATTGCCTGAAGCTCCAGGACATTGATTGACAACTGGGACTCTTCCTACGTCCAGTGACCTTGGGCTGAACTCGTTCCCAGCAATCCTCCCCAACAGGTTGGCATCCATTGTGACCACTGTCTAATGCAAGGGAAGAAATGATTTTCCCTCCTGAAGGACAGGAGGCTGAAGCCACCAAAGCAGAGATGTCCTGGTCTTTGGACCCAAACAAATTTGGATGTCCAAGGAGTCAGGGAGCTTGTCCCATTTGGACAGGATTTCCCACTGAAAGGTCCACGTATGGAACTGAGCATATGGAACCGCCTTGAAGATAGACACTATCAGCCCCAGGACCTGCAAGCAACAGCAAAGTGAGATCAGCCTGTGGGATAGCAGCAGACAAACTGTCGTTTGAAGCTTCTGGAGCTTGTCCAGCAGAAGAAGCACCTTGGCTAATGCTGAGTTGAGAGTCAGGCCTAGATAGTCCAGCTTCCTGATCAGAGTCGGAGCTCCTATCTGCAAAGCCAGGGGGACAAAAAAAACTTTTTGTGAGCAGAAAAAGAGGGACTATGCTTATGACATGGTTCCACTTGTAAGATCCTTGATAATGTAATTTAGGGTAGCCCCGAAAAGGAGATAATTTGGGAAGGCAAATCTGTGAGAACTTTCCTAGAAGTCTGGCCTACAGACCAACATTTGAACCACAGCACACACTGAAGCACCACAGCTGAGACAGAGAGCTTGGAAAGCAAAGGTACCGCATCTAAGGAGGCAGCACACAAACTTAAGGCTTTGGACCAGCTGGTTTGCCAATTCCATGTAGCACAGGAGTTTGGCCCATTCTGTGAGAGTCTGGGATACCAGAGCAGTGTCCAAAATTGGCCAAAGAGCCAAGCCGGCAATAGTAAACGTTGTGTGGGCTACCGATTCCATTTTCCTGTCAGCTGAATCCTAAGGATGGAGATTCCTTCACTGGTATCATGGTCGCCTTATTCAGCCTGAAGATAGGAGGGTCCACGACAGGTGGCGCTGTCCACTTCTTCAGAAGAGATTCTTGTAAGGGATAACGCACAATAAACTGTTTCGGAACCACAAAGAGTCTCCTAAGACGTTCTCATATGACGTCCTCCCAGAACGCGCCCCCTGCACGCTCCCAGCAATGCGCACCCCATGCTGTCAGTGATTGCTGTGTCCTATGGACACAGCTGATTACATGACTAAGTAAAAGACCAATCACAGCGGCCTTTTACCACGTGATCAGCAAATCACAAAGTAAACACAGTTGCCGGTTATCGGCGTGCGGAACGTACTGCCAATAACCGGCAAATGCCACAGAGGACATCCGCACTGATAATCAGGGCACTGATCATCAGTGCCACCCATGAGAGCCCAGCAGTGCTGCCCATCAGAGCCCAGCAGTGCCGTCCATCAGTGCCACCCAGCAGTGCCGCCCAGCAGTTGCGCCCATCAGTGTCACCTAGCAGTTGCGCGCCTCAGTGCCCAGCAGTGCCGCCAGTCAGTGCTGTCAGTCAGTGCCACCTGTCGGTGTCACCTGTCAGTGCCCATCACTGCTGCTGGCCAGTGCCCATCAGTGACGATTATCCGTGCTGCTCATTGCTGCAAATCAGTGTAGCATCACCAGTAACTCCTCATCAATGCCCACCAGTGCCGCCTCATCAATGCCACCTCACCAGTGCAGCCTATCAGTGCTGCCTATCTGTGCCACCTCATCAGTGCCCATCAGTGCTGCCTATCAGTGCCCATCAGTGCTGCCTATCAGTGCAGTTTCATTAATGCACATCAGTGAAGGAGAAAAATTACCTGTTTGCAAAACTTTATAATAGAAACAAAAAAAAAACTTTTTTTTTTTTTTTTCAAATTTGTTTGCACTTTTTTGGTTATAGTGCAAAAAATAAAAACCCCAGTGGCAAATAAATACCACCAATATAAAGCTCTATTTGTGTGAAAAAAAATTATAAAAATTTCATATGGGTACAATGTTGCATGACCACGCAAATGTCATTCAAAGTGCAGCAGCACTGAAAGCTAAAAATTGGCCTGGGCACGAAGATGGTAAAAGTGCCCAATAGGCAAGTGATTAATAAATCATCCCCAATGAGTCCAGAGATGGCCAACAAACATGGTAAAAGGACGGGGTCTAAAGAACCTCATGACAGCAGTCAGAGAGGTTATGCTCATTTTTAAGTCCATTTGCACAAACTTCCACATATTTTCAAGCATAGGAGCTCAAGTAAGCGTGCGGTGCACACAATGCACGTCCGCCACATATCCCAGAGTGTGATGGCCTATTTATACCTGAGGCCTGAATGGGATCATTTCTGGATGGTCTTTCAAGTCATTGCCTAGTTATCTGTGTTCATGAAGCCTGTTTGACTCCATTCCTGACTTGGCTACATCTGGCTCTTCTCTGGATTACCCTTGTCTGTTCATATCTGCTGCTCATCTGTGTTACCAACCTTGGCTTGGACTTTTGTCATAAGTCTCTGCCTTATGATTTTATACTTCACTGTCACTACACTGCCAACCCTTCCCTGTCTCTGATCTGGACTGTGTTTGTGAGTTGGTGCCTATCTGCCTGGCTGTTTCTGAATTCAGCTTGTGACCTGACTACACTCTTCTGCTCATCCAACTTCACTACTTTCAATTTCAAGATTACTGGTCCAACCTTCTGGCACCTGCAACTTTCTGCTGCCATATCAGTCTGTCTAAACTTCCAGGGGTGCTTGGACGGGAATTGTGCATCATCTTGAGCTCTGC